GCTATATCTTTTGATAGCCGGGCACCATCAGCCTTCTTCGCCACATTTGCTTATGCACCCCATTGTCTTCAGTGATCGTATCATGGAGGTGAGCACACAATGATGTGACTTTTTGTTCTTTGATGCCAGATAACTGATCCCTTTGGAACCTTGGGATCACACAGGCTGATGTGTTCTTCCATGTGGGCTTTGTTGCTTCTGAGGTAGATGGCCACTTGTTTACCTTCATGCTTTTAAGACTGCTGGGATAACATTGTAAAACATTGTTTTTATTTGTAAATATTTAGCCTCGACTCTGCCATTTCCCAGGCTGTTTTAGACCTGCCCTTGCAGGGGTAAGCTTGCCATTCCATAGTTGGTAATCCACTGTTGATATGTGTCATCGAATACATTCAGACTCATGGTGACCCAACAGGGCAGAGCAAACAGCCCCTAGGTTATACTCCTTGGGAGAGCAGGGTGCCAGTGCTTCCCTACCAGTTCCCAATTAGGAGCAATGTGTCCCCATCCCTCACACTTGAGTTTTGGAAACAAGAGCAGAGGTTAGTTGTCCTTTCTTTGTTGTGGCTCTTGTAATGACCACCAGGGAGGCTACGTTAGTATACAATGGGATGAGAGCCAAAGATGCTATAAATACCCTGAAAATCAAGGGGCCCTTAAACTCAGAGCCCCATCTCTCTAAATACCAGCAGTGCCTTTCTGAGAGACACTGCTAGATGATGATGACAGAAACTACCTCTGCACTATCTTGTAGCATCTAAGTAAGGAGTCCTGGTGAACTGCATTACTCATGCGACTGCTAGCCACGAGGTCACCAGCTCCTGTCACCGAGTCAGAATCCCCTTGATGGTAGTGAGTTTACGTTTTTGAGCATTCAATCACAGCGCTTTACATTTAATAGGCACTAAAATGTATCTTCAAAAATCTATGTCGTGTGTCTTTCAATACTCAAGGGTCAGTCTAGTCATGATTATGGAAACTAGGAATATTGTGAAGTCCCAAACCACTAATTATTGAGTTTTGATTATTGTACTTATCATAGACACAGGTTTTTCTTCTCCAAATTGCATTGCTACTACTTTCATCAAAATATAAATAAGTCAAAGGTAATTAAATTCTTTTGTCCATTTAGGCAGAACTGATTAACATGCTTAATTTCGAATGAGCCCATTTGACCATCACAGGCCAGTTCTTCTTTACCAGCAAAAATAGAGATGGTTATATGGTAAAAATCTCTTAAGTGTATATATGAGATTGTTGTGGTCAGAGGCCATTTTGTTATCACAAAATGGTCATATTTCCCTATCCTTTACTTGAAGATTTACTATAAGCTGACTCAACAAGGTATTTAGAGATGATCAAGGTGACCCAACACTTAACAGTGACAGTAATAGGGTTCAACTTTCTACCTCTAAGTGTGATATTTTGCCTAATTGAAAACTGAAAATCAAGGTTGAGATGGCAGCCTCAGATACAAATACGGTATCTCTAGGGCAAAACCAACTATATAGAGACATTTTTTCACCTTCTGGAAAGTAAATCAATGACCAGCGCCCCCTAGTGTACATTAATAAGCACCTAGCGTTTTCCCTCTGTTCATCATCAAACACAGGCAGAGGGGTAGGGCCCCAAGATTTCATTCTATGAGCAGCATTTTTCTTCTGGGGTCCACATCCAGATCACTGAAAAGGTGACATAAAGCTGAGGTCACACACGCGGCACCATCTAACTTCACTGTGGCACTGCCACTGCCTTGTGCCAGTAGAGAATAGTGAAACCAGAAGAGTAAAAAGAATGCCAAATTTCTAATATGGCAGTATGCCTGAACATGTAAGCAAACTGCTAATATTCAGTTTGCCAAAGGACCCAGGGATCCAAAAAGACCAGCGGTCTTCAGTTGCAGATGCAGGTAGGTTAAAATCTAGCACCCTATCATTTGAGCTTCCTTTTATGATCCATTTAAATTTGTTCTAGTTTTTAATGTTATGCTTTCTTTTCTATTGAGCGATTTACCTGTTTCGTTATTTATTTGCTTGTTCAAATGGTTTTCTGTATGTGAATCCAGGATAGGTAAATCTATAGAGACAGTAACTGACTTAGTGGTTCCTTGGGGGTATGGCAGGAGAGGTTGGGGGACATGGGGAGCTAATAACAATGAATACACAATTGAAGAAAACGTTCTAAAACTGATTGTGGTGATGACTGTACAACACTTCTTGATGTGACTGAAAATTTGAATTTTATGTTATGTGAATTATGCTAGTAAAACTGCTGGGGACAAAAGAAAATCTCAACTACAAGGTATACTGTGCCATCTTTTAAAAAAATACCGGTTCACTTCACATTATGGTAAAAATAAATTCTGGAGAGTGTTAATTTGGGATATCAACATAAAGAACTGATACTGAACTCTACACATCATGTATTTTATTCAAGTCCTTCATGTATCACTGTATCCAAGAAAGAAATCTACAATTCAGATTTCATTTATTTCTAGAACAAAGTGTGAGAACGAAAATATCTTCGAGTTCTCTATCTGCTGTAGGATGCATTCGAGTTAGATCATCTTAGGCAAAATTCTTTGCAGGTTTGGGAGTTTGAATGTAATGATTTAAATAATCGTCAATGAAATGACATCTGAAAAAGGGAAATGACTACAGTGTATCCCCTCTGTTGCGATTTTGCCTTACAGCTTGATTTACTCCAAAGTATTATTGAAAATGTATGTCGATGACAATTTCTCAATGTTACACTAAATTGGACATACACGCATAAAAGAGTAATTTTAACATTTTAAACTTTAATACATGCTCAATTTTAGTTCTAAAAATAAGCTAACATTTTAAATTAGTAACTAATTCAAGTCACAAAGTACAGACTCGTGAAATTAACATAGAAAACGTAAAGGCTAGAAGAATAGTTTACATAATTTATACACTTAAAGGAAAAGACATAGGTTTAGGGTTACAGATAGAGGGTTTTCTGTTCTTTTTCTTGACTGAAATATTTGTTAAATAACAAGGACTTAAAAGAATTAAGGCTTTATATTCTTATTAACTAAAAAGCTGTTATAAAAACAGATTAATGTTCAATTCTGTAATAAAGAAATTATAGGTGAATGTTTAAATGGTGATATAAAGTTTATTGTGCCAACCTGGCCGATAAACACACGTGGGGTTAATTAAAGGGCGGAGAGATAAATGCCTCAGTGAGCCTCACCTTTCTAGTTCTCGGGTCTCTTGCTTTCTGATGGTCGGACCAGGGTGCAGCTGCCTTAGCCAGTTCCCTCCTTTAGCTGGCAAGGTTCACTTCCTGCAAGACATCCCTGAGGAGGAGCCACATGGACCAACCCTGAGACAGCCCTGGGTGCTGGAGCAGCTGTGTGGAGACCCCTGCCAGCGCTGAGATGCTTACATACTCACTAATTCTGCTTTCCTTCTGTAGTCAGCATCATTGCATCTGTTTTGTGAAATGGAGGAGGACTTTGTGGATTGGTGTCGGGCATATGGGTTAATGCGTTAATGTTGGACTTGTGGGCTTGGGCAGCACTGGGTTGGGATGTTCACTTAACCTTTATATAAAACTCTCTTATACATGAGTTTCTGTGGATTTCTCTAAAGTACCCAGACTAACACAAATGGCACAATTAAAAAGGAACAACTGAGGTATTAAGCACCTTTCTCAAAATTACATCACCTGTCTAACAAATTTTGAGATAATCAATCATTCAAGTTTGCAGAACACTAAATGCATTTTTCTAAATGGCACAAAAAGGCAGAGGAGAGTTTTCCAAGGATACTACAATGGCAGAATTGTAACTTTGGAGATGGATAAACTTGTTTGTAATAAAACAAATACCCCACCTAAAAGGAGCTAAGGAGGAAAGATCAATGTCAAGTTTGATGCGTCTAAGAATGTAATATAAAGCAAAGAGAATATGTTACATAAACTGTTCCAAAAATCATGCACCTTAGTAATTTAGGGCATATCTGAAGACAATTTTTTACAATTATTTAATAATACCTAATAGCTTTTTAGATAGTAATAAACCAAAACCAAACCAATCTCACAATCTCGATGGAGTCAATTCTGACTCATAATGACTCTATAGGACAGGGTAGAAAGCCCTCTCTTTCTCCCCAGAAGCAGTTGGTGGTTTTGAACTACTGATCTTACAGTTAGCAGCCCAATACATAACCACCAGGCCTCCTAAAATAGTAATAGTATCATATGACTTCATTGTAAAGCTCTAAGCTAACAGATATATAACACAATGTTAATTTTGAGATCAACTACTCAGACTGTTGATTAGCATCATTCCAGGACACTGTTAGTCAGAGAAGGGTAAAATTACTCTTAGCATTTTACTTTTAAGTATAATTATAGACGATAAAATTAGGTCTATCATTGACTCTTCACAAGTTTAAAAGATGCCCAGCCATAGGGAAATAAGTGAGAAAGCAAATTCAGCATGAACTTTACAAATCAGGATGTTTTAGTTCTGTAGAATGTTTAGTAATTTATTCACATTGTTGAAAATCACAGATTTATTCCTAACACAGAGAAAATATAAAGATACCTTCCAAGAATGCTCATAATATCAGAAGATTGAAACACAAGTGATTGGTCTTACATATATTGCCCAGCACCATGACATTTTCTGCTAAAATAACCCAAACGAAACAGATTCAATGCAGGGGATTTATTTTTTGCTGATTTGCACAGGTGATCCTTTGATGCTGAGTTTGTCCACAAAGACGTCGGATCTTCTTCTACCTTCAATGGCTGGACTTCGGCGAGGTTTCTCCCTGAGAAATATCCATATGAACATTAATGCCATATTTAAAGAGCTCAATGTTGATATTGTACATCAACATTTAAAACCACTGTAACGTAAGGAGAGTTTTATTTTTAAAGTTCCTCAAAGCTCTGAAAAACAAAAGGCTGGCGGTTTCATTATTTTCTACATGTAGGAGGAGAGCAAAAGACGCTTACCTGGGCTAGACTTAAGTCTCACTATGCAATATGATAATCACTAGTCACATTAGTAAATTCAAATTGAAATAAAATATTCAGTTCCTCAGTTGCATCAGCAACATCTCAAGTGCAACTCAACAGTCACATGTAATTAGTGGCTATTATGTTGGACAATGCCCAGTCATAAAATTTGTATCACTGCAGAAAGTTCTACTGGACAGTACTAGTTTAAAGAAAATCCACTGGTGGAGCCATATGTTTACAGATCACCCTTAGAGAGTGAGCTCTATGGAAGCAGACTTCATGTCTAAAGTTAATAGAGGTAAGTTTTACTCAATAAAATTGCCAATAAAGTGAGACAATATTACCTAACTAAGGTGGGGGCAAGTTTTCAAGTCATTCTACAGGAAATATGGAGGTGGGGGCTCTAAATTTTAAAAGGAGTATTTTAAAAGAAAGGATGCTGGCTCTTGAAATTCTGCAAAACGCTCTGACTGACTCGATACCCACTTGTCCATGGCTACCGCTGCTTCTGTGAGGCTTCCACCTTCGGCAGCAATCTCCACTCTCTTATGGCCTAGAACAGATTTCTGTTTTAAGGCCCCGTGAAGCATCTTTCTCTTTTGAGTGTAATTTCAATAGGAATTAGTTATTATCTTCAAGTTTCCCCCAAGAAAACCAAATGAGATTGTAAAACTAAATGATATATACTAAATGTGTAAAAATATCTATAATCTTTAATCTGTGGCTTAACTACATGTATTTTGAAGCTATTCCAAAAGTAATGCCAAAACAGGTGAAAATTTTCTCAAAATCATTCCAAAATATATCTAACACACATGAATCATGGAATTTCACATATTGCTATATATTATACAAGTGTCTAAAATGCCTTTTCCCTTAAATGCTCAATTTCTACTTTTTCAAACAAATTCACTCACTGCCACTGAGGTGATTCCAATTCACACGAACCCTCTAGGTCAGGGCAGAAGTGCCCTGTGGGCTTGTAAGATTGTAACTCTTTATGTAAGTTACAGAAACCCTTGTCTTTACTTGGCTAAGGAAGTTATTATAAGCTTTCCAAGTATTCACCATCCTTTTATCATTTTGCTAGACCTAAATATCTTTGCTTGGTATGCAATGTATGTGTATACATACACCCAGATTTAAAAGTTTCACAAGAATAATTATAATATATGGCTTTTCCTTAGAAAGGTTTTGGCTTCTGATTACCCTCTGAATCAGTTTACTAGTTAGGTTGCTAATCATAAAAAACCTACCTACTACCATCGAGTCAATTTTGACTCAGTGACCCTATGAAAGGTTTTTGAAACTGTAAACCTTTAAAAGAGAAGACAGCCTTATCTTTCACACATGGAGTGGCTGGTGGGTTTAAACCACTGACCTGTGGCTAGCAATCCAATGCTTACCAGACAGTGTCAGCAAACCAAACTCACTGCCATGGAGTCAATTTCAACTCTATATCCTGGCAGTTGTTACACAGTGCTCCTAAATTAAATATGGCTTGGAGATACAAAGTTAAAACTAATTATTATCTTTCACAAAAAATATTATAGATATAATTTGGATATTCATCAAAGCTTCCTGATAACAAAAATTAAAATTAGCTAACTTTTATTCTAATTCTTCTTAAAAATAATCACTATTTTAGAAATAAACATTACCTTCTTTTAAGCTCTTGGAATCCTGAATTGTCATGACCAACACTTGGCATCCTAGGGCTTTCGAGATGATGCCATCTGCCCCCCGGTCTGTATTTCAAAACCTCATTTTGCCACTCATCATCAAAAGCATGAGCATCATCTGCATGAAACATCAAAATAAAGTAAGTATTAAAGTATCAACTGTCAATAAAGGTCTTGCTCCTCATACACTTCCTTCCAGGTGGATGCTCCCATCAGACTAGTTTCAAAATAAAGGCAGGAAGCTAGTAATGACATGGTTTTGTTGAGTATCTCATTTTCCCCTGTCCAAAGAACAAACAAAGCTGCCCTGGAAGAAGTATGGCCAGAATGTTCTTTAGAAGCAAGGGTAGTTAGACTTCACTTTGGACGTTACCGAGAGAGACCAGTCCCTGGAAAAGGATTATTATGCTTGGTAAAGTGGAGGGGGCAGCAAAAAGGAGGAAGACCCTTGGCAAGATGGATTGACACAGTGACTGCAAGCACTGGGCTCAAACCCAACAATTGTGAAGATGATACGTGATCAGGTGGTGTTTAGTTCTGTTGTACATAGGGTCTCTGAGTCAGAACTGACTTGACAGTGCCTAACGACAACAACAATGGCATTTTTCCCCCAGGAGAAAGATAAGGCTTTCTGTTCCTGCAAAGATGTAAAATCTCGGAAACCCAAAGGGGCAGTTCCACTCTGTCCTATGGAGTTGCTATGAGTTGAAATTGATGGCAGTGAATTTTGAGTTGCTGAAATATCACATTATTCTACTCAATAGATCTCTTGACCTGATTACTCTGGCTTAGGTCTTTATTTCTAAATACTGTCACCATCACCAAGCTGCTTCTGTTATTTGGACTGTGGCTAACACTTCCTGTTCAACATTTCATCCTCCTACCTGAGTTGCTCTCTGCTGTCAATTCTTGGGACAAGTCTTTCAATTCAATTGTCAATATTTTGTTCTACTGTGGGCAGGTCTTCCTAAAGCTAACCGGTATCTGCCATTGTTATGTAACTTTCTACTCCTTGAACCCATTCCTACTGGAAACAAATTATTCATCACAATGACTTTCACTTGCAGCATGTGTAGCCTTTCTTGCATTAAACCAAACCAAACCCACTGCCTTATAGTTGATTTTGATTCAGAGAGACCCTATATAAGGTTTCCTAGATGGTAAGTCTTTATGAGAGCCGGACAGTCTCATCTGTCTCTGAAGGAGCAGCTTGGTGGTTTTGAACTTTGTGGTGAGCAGTCCAAAGCCAAACCCACAATAACACCAGAGCTCTTAGATGATAAAAAGGAAGTGGCATTAAACTTAAATGTAAGATTTTCAATGAATAAATTGTAGTCTAAAATGATAAAACAATTTTACACTTTACCAGATATAAAACATCGCTATTCAAAATATTTTCTAAACAGGGATGAATATAATTTAAGGACTATTAATGAGAAAGGGTAGAGTTCTGGAATACCTTAAATGCAATAGAATGTGGTCATATATAAAAATCTAAAATATACAAGAAATTAAAGTCTTATCTGTACAAAAGTCCAAGTGTCCAACAATGCAAAATGATTTAAAAATAAATTATGGCCTACTCATGGTAACATTTCAGATAAGCATTAAAAACCATGTTGTTAAAAAATAACATCAGAGCATAAGCAAAAGTGAAGAAATCTGATGGTGCCCGGCTATCAAAGGATATAGTGTCAGGGGTCTTAAAGGTTTGAAGATAAACAAGTGGCCATCTAGCTCAGAAGCAACAAAGCCCACATGGAAGAACACACCAGCCTGTGTGATCACGGGGTGTTGAAGGGATCAGGTATCAGGCATCAAAGACAAAAAAGTCAAATCATTGTGAATGAGGGTGAATGCAGATTGGGGACCCAAGACCCATCTGTAGGCAAATGGACATCCCCTTACACAAGGGTCGCGGGGAGGAGACGAGCCAGTCAGGGTGCAGTGTAGCAACAATGAAACATATAACTTTCCTCTAGTCCCTAAATTCTTCCCCCACCCCACCCACCAGCCCCCACCACTATCATGATCCCAATTCAACCTTACAAATCCAGCTAGACCAGGGGATGTACACTGGTACGGATAGGAACTGGAAACACAGGGACTCCAGGACAGATGATCCTTTCAGGACCAGTGTTGCGAGAGGTGATATCAGGAGGGGGGAGGGTGGGTGGAGTATAAATGGGGAACAATTAGAAGGATCTACATATAACCTCCTTCCTGGGGGATGGACAGCAGAAAAGTGGGTGAAGGGAGACGTCGGACAGTGTAAGATATGACAAAATAATAATAATTTATAAGTTATCAAGGGTTCATGAAGGAGGGGGGAGCAGGGAAGGAAGTAAAAAATGAGGAGCTGATGCCAAGGGCTCAAGTAGAAAATGTTTTGAGAATGATGATGGCAACAAATGTACAAATGTGCTTGACACATTGGATATATGTATGGATTGTTATAAAAGTTGTACGAGCCCCCAATAAAATGATTAAAAAAATTATACTGGGGACCCATCATAAGTTGGAGGTGAGAAATTTATTATTTTATCTTTTGTAATGCTTCTTATAATACAAAAAAAGTGTTAAGAATTTAAAAAAATAACATCAGAAGTGATGGTTCACAATTATAATAATGCAAACTCACTGCTATCGAGTTGATGCTAAATCATAGTGGCCCTATAGGACAGAGTAGAACTGCCCTTGTGGGTTTCTGAGAATGTAACTTTTTTTTCCTGATTGTATTTATTAACAGTTTTATTGGCATATAATTCACAAATCATATAATTCAAGAGTTGTTACACCAAGAAGAGTTGTATAGTCATCACCGCAATCAGTTTTAGAACATTTTCTTCATTCTGTACTTATCTTATTAGCTCCTACATCCCCCCAAACTTCCCTGTTTCCCCCACCCCCCACCCCCGCAAGGAGGCATCAATCTAGGAGACTAACTTTTCATGGGAGTAGAAAGCTTCAAACCACCAATGAGTGGCTGGTGGTTTCCAAGTGCTGACCTTTCAGTTAGCAACCCAACTGTAAACTATGATACTGCCAGGATTGCTATCTCCATGGTTCGCAGCTTTAAACAACCAGCAGCTCCTTGGGAGAATGCCTGGGCTTTCTACTTCTGTAAACATTTACAGCATGGACCCAATAGCAGTGAGTTGGGAGTTTTTTAAATAATATATAGACAATAAAATTCTAATTTTGAAAAAAGTATATGTTTATATGTAGAAAAACTATATTACAAGACATATTAAAACATTAAGAAGTGTTCTTTTAGGTTGAGATTATGGACAATTTAATTTTTTCCTTGTACTTTTCAAATGTACTTATCAGAAAAAGATAACTTAAAAACTCACTTTGTGCACTGACAAATTCTTTAAATATCCTAAGAATCCTACTTTCCAAGTGCAAAATAAAGAAAATCAGCGATAGCATACATTGCTAAAATTCACTATAAAAAGGTTTACTAAGCAATCATTAAACCATAGTTCTATTACTTTTACAAAGTGTTACCTACATAGTTTGTTGATAAATAAAATCGGAGCTACATCTTTAAAATGCTTATACAACAATAACTACAAAGTTCTATAAGTAAAGCTATTTAAAAAGATAAAATATAAATTTTGAGATGACTCACTTTCATTCATGTTGAGGAATTCCTGATTAACCTCTTCATCTCCAGTCTTCTTGTTCTTTGACTTCTTAATGACATGAGCTCGATCATGGATATGATGACCAACAGCCATTTTTTCTAATCCACTGTCAGAGTCTCTCAAAGTTCTCCTGGTTTCTTTTATCTGTAAAGTAAAGCACATAAAAATTATTTAGTTGGAATTTAAAAAAATACAGAATGAGAATAATTCTAAGTTATTCAGGGCCTGGTTATTTGTAGCATTAAGGTCACATATCTACTGTGGATCTATATGATCAACTAAAGATCCACCACCAACTAGATGTAAAGGGAACCAAAATCCTCACAACTGAAACAACGTCATATATGATAAATGGAAAAAATGTTGAAGTTGTCAAGGATTATATCTTGCTTGATCTACAGTCAGTACTCATGAAAGCTGCAGAAAAGAGATCCAATGGCACATTTCACTGGGTAAATGTGTTGCACATAAGGCCTTTTTTAAAGTGCTGAAAATTAAGGATGTTATTTTAAGGACTAAGCCATGGTATTTTTTATTGTCTTAAATGCATGTGAAAGTGGAACTTATATTACTAATTATGTCTGATTAAGGAAGACTGAAGAAGAATCTATGCATCTGAATTACAGTGCTGGCAAAGAATACTGAAAGTGGCCTGCCAAAAGGACAAACAAATTTGTCATTGAACAGATACAGCTAAGCTATATTGCTCCTTAGAGGCAAGGATGGTGAAATTTGGTCTCATGCACTTTGGACATGTTGTCAGGAGAGACCAGCCCCTCTCAGAGGGCATCATGCTTGGTACAGTAACAGGAAAGCAAAAATGACGAAGACTCTCAACAAGCTGGATTAACAAAGTGGCTGCTTCAATGGGCTCACACATAAAAACAATTGTGAGCATTTGGGAGGGTGGCACAGAACTGGGCAGGGCTTCGTTCTGTGGCACATAGGGTTGCTATGAGTTGGAACCAACTCAACAGCACCAAACAATAGGAAAAGGCACCCAAGGAGGTGCAGGTAAGAATACCATCAACTCAGTAACCACCAAAAACCAAACTCGCTGTCATCGAGTCAATTCCGACTCACAGGGTAGAACTGCCCCTCTGAGTTTCCAATATTTAACTCCTTATAGGTGTAGAAAGTCTCATCTTTTTCCTGAGGTACGGCTGGTTTCAAACTGCTAACCTTTTGGTTAGCAGTCCAATATGCAAGTTGCTGTCACCAAGGTGATATAGTGGGTTATACTTTGGCCTGTTAAACACAAAGGTGAGCACTTTGAGACCAACAGCCACTCTGGGAGAGAAAGATAAAAGTCCCGTAAGGATTTAGTCTCAGAAACCCACAGGATTCTGTCCTGTTGGATCACTATGAGTCAGAATTGACTTGATAGCCGTGAAATTTGTCAGTACACACTGTTGAGTTTTTAATGCTTTCACATGTCTCTCCCCACATCCATTCCACCATAGCACCAGATCCAATTTTAATGATTAAGATTTAGAAAACTCTAAGAATTCTTAGGAAATACTTACACCTCCCGGAGCCCTGCGAGTCTGAGTTGAAGCCTGGAAAACCTTTGGTGGTTCATCGCCTACTTTGGAATAGGTCATAACCGAGGAGGAACAAAATGAATGTCCACTTGGATCCATTGAAAGCTGACCCTAAAGATAAAGATATGAACCGTAAATTCAGAGAGCTAGTTTAGTCATATGAAGAATTAATTCCAGAAGGATTCCAGTAAATAACTCAGTTAGCTAGAGGTCCCAGTGAGGATACTATAATGTAAGTGTAATGTATCAAAATGGTACCCCAGGGAGGTCCAAATCTCTGTTTTAAGTAATACTGTATACTTGTGAGAAATACAACAGGCAATTCCCTCAGAGATTTAAGTCTTGTATCATCATTTGCATTTATGTACAGTATGCCCTGCAAATCTGTGATACATTTTTAGTCAATAGTAGATGCTTGTGAGCAATTTTGCAAACATTTAGCCAAACACCAAGAAGTTTCACATCTCCAGATTGCTACAGTATTAGAATTAATAATGCCATATATTTGGGCATTCTGAATGATCTACAAAATTCAGACATGATTAGTAATATAAGTTCCATTTCAGAGATAGAATCATGTTATTTTCCCCCCAATAAAACGGTTTTAAATTTTTGTTTAAAAAAAACAAAACAAAAAAAAAATTTTGTTTATTTTATTTTATTGGGGGCTCATACAATTCTTATCACAATCTATACATACATCAATTGTGTAAATCACATTTGTACATTCGTTACCCTCATCATTCTCAAAACATTTGCTCTCCACTTAAGCCCCTGGCATCAGCTTTTTTCCCCTCCCTCCCCGCACTCCCCTCCCTCATGAACCCTTGATAAATTATTATTTTGTCATATCTTACACTGTCTGACTTATCTTTTCACCCACTTTTATGTTGTCTGTCCCCCAGGGAGGGGGTTATATGTAGATCCCTGTAATCAGTGGCCCCTTTCTAACCTACCCTCCCAGTATCACCACTCTCAGCATTGGTCCTGAAGGGATCATCTGTCTCGGATTCCCTGTTTCCAGTTCCTATCTGTACCAGTGTACATCCTCTGATCTAGCCAGATTTAGTGTGTTTCCTCCATATGGGCTCCATTGTTTCTGAGTTAGATGGCCACTTGTTTACCTTCAAGCCTTTAAGACCCCAGATGCTCTATCTTTTGATAGCCGGGCACCATCAGCTTTTTTCAC